ATGTGGTACAAAGGGATACAAAGGCTGCTCCTTGTTTTATTGGTTTTTTTGTCTTGTTTCTCTCTTAACTTTTTTTTTCTGTTGTTGTTTTCTTGTTTGTGTACAGGAATGCTAAGGATGTTTTTTCTTTATTTCCCTTTTTTTTTCTTTTTTTTCCTTTTTGTGTTGTTTTTCTTCTTTTTCTGCTTCGTTCTACATCGGGGCAAGCCAAGCTCGGAGCACCCAGACGCATCTGAATAAGTATTAGTATACCTTGCTAATTGTCGAGCCTAAAAGGGGAGATACTGGGTGACTTCAAGAGCAGGTATAGAACGTTTTAGTTTTCAAGTTAAGTTACACATTAGGTAACCAAAGGGTAAAAGGAGGCAGTATTGGGCACTGGAGATGAACTCTACACTGCTTGAGTGAAACAGAAAAGCGCAATTGATGGTTAAATCAAACGACCATGGAAAATGCCGTAAGAAAGGTTAATTACATAGAAATCAAGACGGTAATTTGGGATCAGCATGGATATAAACACCTTGGTCTAACTCGCCAAATCCCCCGCGATCAGGCTACTTGCGTGGAGAAATCGTTGGAGGATTCCCAAAGAGTTGGAAGGCGCCACTTGGATGCGAGAGAAGAGAAGAAATTTATACAAAATATAACTGTAATCAGCGAAAATACTCCTGAAGAGAAAAATGCTAATCAGGACGATCAAGTTCAAACGCACTTGCACAACACCCAGAGCATAAGCCCTTTGAGATCTGCTAACAATCTGCCGATCGAGCTGGGAAGTGCGTGCTTTGATTGAAAAGTCGAAGATATTGTTTGCTCCAGCATCAGTCAACCGGGTAAAAACGTATATCAGGAGATTGACACCAGAACAAAAGAAAGAACAACAAAGACTGACATTGAGAACATAAATAAGAGTGCGATGGAATTAAAAACCGGCACTGCGTATCGCCCACTGAAAACCCTTTTGGCCATTTGTGGCTCGTGAAGTGCGCTCTCTACTCAACTGTTGTTGCCTTTCTATTGCTGAAAGGCTAGAAGAAAGCCATGAGTCACAGTGTAACTAAGAATTCTCCCAGAAAGAAGAAAGTTTTATTGGAGAAAGCGGATGAACTCTAAAAAAATGTCTATTGCAAAGGCAGAATACAGTAAAACAAATGGTAAACTCCCCTTTGGTCACAATCTTCACAAAAATCCGGAATTTCAAGTTCCGAAGAAACAATGGAAGGTGTTGGAGGAAATAACAAGGCTAACAAGCAATTTGATGGTGAGTTGGAAGGAGCTGGGGAGCCGCAAATATTTTCTTTGGCGGGATGCAGACTCGACTTATCAAATATGTAGCCATAAGTACCTTTGACTAAGGCTAATCATTTTAAAAAAATGTAAGCCAGCTTTTTAACGACGATGCACGCTGGGAGTTGTTAGCGAGCGTTAGGAGCGAAGTAATGATGGTACTCTTTCATTTATTTGAATGTAAGCCCATATTATAATATTGCAACGCGTGAAATATTTTCCTCACCAATTACATTTAGATACACCGGGTTTGGGGTTGAATATGTGTTGCCATTAAAATTTAAATGAGAGAACCTTTGGTCGCAGGGAAAAAGTTTGTCTAATCGCCTGAATACTAAATGCGTAGTTGCGAAGCTCGACTATGAGATGTAAAGTCTAATATATTCATTGCGGATTAGCATTTCCCGTTCCGTAATTTCTTGAGACTGATCGGTTGAAATAAAGGTCGCGATTTGTTTCAAATTGTCTGAAAGTCTCAATTCAGCCCAAAGTTTGGGTGCAGTCGCCTTACATGTTACCTTTAAGGTAACGTTTCTAAGTGTGTGTTTGAGATTTTTGATCTGTGACCGCCTCTGTTTCTACCGCCTAGTTACGTCAAGCGACTTGATTTAACGGTTGAAGTAATTTCAAGTGCGGCTTTCAAATGGCTTCTCAGTTCGAAACGAACTGAGAAGCTACTTCTATCCACTGGAAAATTTGAATCTTAACTTAAAATACTAATATGAATAAATTACATAGTACTTTTCGTACTGACACATTCCACACGAACGATGAAAAAAAATCTCTCTAATACTAATCATAGATTAGCACAGTGCGTTCAGTCTAGCATGTGAATAAATATTGTTTGCCTCAGCCTGACAAAATTCAATGTGTATCAAATCTGAAAATATCGAGTGGTGGCTTAGCTTACAGTTCTGATTTGAAGTAAACAACTGAATTTGTTGGATCAAACGTTTCAATTTATCTACATGTCTTCCCGGGGCACTAGATAGAGGCAAGTTAACCGGTGGAACTTCACTTTCAGAAGGTTTTACAGATCTTGCATGAAGTCGAGGCCGTGTGCGTCAATCATTCCAAAATAGCGTGGAAAAGCTGGAAACGTTTCGGATTCGGATGGATACCCTTGGAATATCATAAAACCAGCGGGACTCGGAAACAATATGAATTTTAAGCCTTGTCCTACGTTGAAAGAAATTATATTCTCAAGCGAAACGGCTTACAAAAGAAAAACGAAAGAAAAATAAAGGTGCAAATGATTTGGTATTTGTATCCTACTCATGCTTATCGGAAACCTTTGGCATTGGTCTTTCATTTAATTAAAGTGTGAAGCACCCATACCTGTCGAGGGCGATTTTTGCGTACAGGGCTTAATTGTGCCACAATCATTAATCTATGTATTTACTCATTCCGGTTTGAGAAAACACAATCCTATTAGTGAAAAATACCTTACATGATGATCCCTCACCTGATGATGGGACCTCACATGATGATCCCAAAATGATAAATTTAAGAGTAAACAAGGAAGAGAGTAAACCCTACTGAGACTTGGAGACCATCCAGTCATTTATAAAACAGGCACGGATTGGAACTGGGACGTCATGGGAAAAGAATCCCAAGAATATCTGGTCGGCGGGCTTGAACCCAGACCACTGTATGCAGTACTTTCACCGCTTACCCCTGCTAATTTCTATTAGAGAGCCTTGAAAAATACTTCTTTTTGCTCCTGTTGAGGTTTCTAACTTTGAAGTGCATGAAAATACCTCAACAATTAACCTGTTTTGAATGCACTTTTCACTTTATTTTCTCATTATTGAAATTTTAGTGTCTTGTCCGGTAATCCGGTAAAGGAATTGCCGTCAAATATTTTTAGCACAAACACTGACCTGGCGTACCTGTAAGTAGATTTTTCTCTATTTTTAGAAATCACCTTCAACGCATAACAATGATAATTTTCTTTTAGAGTTTATAATTCGCAAATAATTTTACCTCTAAAATATGGTTAAAGATCTAACTGATAGCTTGATATTTGGAATGGTATTCGGACGCCTTTGTCGATAGTAAACAAACAATTAAGAATGACAGTATTTGGAGGTTTGTGTTAAAATCCGTACATAGGAGATTTCAGGAAAAATTGGTATATTGTGGGTGAGGAACTACGATGACCTACTCGAAAGCTGGCAAAGGCAACCCTCATTATCTCTCAGTTGTATTAAAAAAACAAAACGAAACAACAACAAAAAATTTAATGATTTTTTGTCGCAAGACCATAAGTAAAATAATGCGGAAAAATATTTGAAAAAATGAAGAATAATCTGATCTAATGCTAAATGTTTTCACTATATGGTGCACATGGATCAGCGAACCTGTAGCTGATAATTTTAGGTGCAAAAATATATAGTTGCAATGAAAACCGTTCTGCTATATCTCTATTAAAGTTTGGCAACCTATAACCCAGAACAGAGCAAACATGTAAAGCCTTTATTTATTTAAAGAGGGTGGAACTTAATAGCCAAAGGCTAATAAACTTGTGGCCCTCACAACTATTTACAATCTAAAATACTGTAAGCTAAAATATATAAATATACAGTTAAAATATAAAATATGACAGGATTCGATTATAAGATAAAAATAAATTATTAAATTATGAAATGATGCAAAAATTGTTGTTCCTTAAAAATCTTGGCAAACATGTTCTTTTTAAAACATGCTACAGAATTTAGTTTCCTAATTTCAATTGGTGTACTGTTCCACAGTCTTGTTGCCGAAACAGCGAAAGAGCGTCCTCCTTCTGTTTCTCTTTTATATTTAGGACAAACAGCATTAGTGCTTGAATATCTAGTGTTGCGGGAGTGCCGCTTATTATTTAAAATTAAGTATTCATTTAGATAATTCGGCAAAGTCCCATTAATTCGCTTATACATTATTGTGCATTTATCAATCTTATGTTGCTCATAAAACGGGATCCAACCTAGCTTGTTAAACAAAGCAACTGATGGTGTCATGCGATCGGCATAACAAATAACGCGTGCCGCACGTTTTTGCAATCTTAAGACCCTATGAACCGACTCTTTATCGCAATTTGCCCAAACAACGTTAGCGTAAGACATAACAGGGCGAATAATTCTATTATAAAACTGAAGTCGCTGTTTAAGAGGTAGACACGCTCGGATCTTACGCAATATTGCGATTCTAGAGGCCAACTTTTTACATACTTTCTCAAAGTGTTCATTAAATGACAATTTGCTGTCAATTTCTACGCCTAATAAGGTAGCACAATCCACATTACTGAGCTGTTTTCCATTTACGATTACATCTATGTCACTTCTATTTATGTTGGCCATGCGTCTTTTGCCAGTGATCGTAAGTACTTTAGTCTTGTCTTCATTTAATGGGAGCTTATTCGCTGAAGCCCATAATTGAATTTCAGAGACAGACTTGTTTAGTGATGAATTTAAGGTGGCTAAGTCCTTCACATCCGCAGAAGCGGTGACAGTCGTATCGTCTGCGTAGAGGTCCAACTGAGCACTTGTATACAAGGGCAGATCGTTGATAAACAAAATGAAGAATAAAGGACCCAAAATACTGCCCTGGGGGACTCCATGCAACATCAAAGCTTCGCTTGACTCACTCTCATTTACACGGACCACTTGCTTCCTTTCCGACAAATAAGAGTGACACCAGGCAAGCTCCCGGTTTACTATGCCGTACAGTTCCTACTTGCGCAACAACAGCTTATGGTCCACCATGTCGAAAGCCTTACGATAATCGACCAGGACCATGCTGCAAACCTGATTATTATCTAGGCTGAACAAAAGCTCGTCAATTAACTTGATTAGGGCAGTCTCGGTACTGTGCATCCTACGAAACCCAGACTGTCTGGAATATAACAAGTTATTATCCATAAGGAAAGCATATAGAGAGTTGTGCATGTGACGTTCGATTACTTTTGACACTACCGGTAGCACAGAAATTGGGCGATAATTAGAAGGATCACTGGCTGCACCTTGTTTGAACAGTGGTGTCACATTAGCGGTTTTCCAACGAGTAGGAAACTTTCCTGTGGAAAACGACATGTTGATAAGCCTTGCTATGCTTGGAGCTAAAATGGGAGCGGCAATACGCAAAAACCTGGCGCTGATTTTGTCGATACCTGCAGCCTTATGAGGACTGATTCCCTTTATAATCTGAAGCACCTGAGCATCGGTTATGTCTGGAACAGAGAAAACCACATCCGGATCTTTGCGAGACTCAACAAAGTTTACCAACTTGGACAAGTCTGATGGTGTATTACCGAGTCTGGATCTCAGATTAGCCGCGATTGAGGAAAAATATGAATTAAACTTTTCCGCAATTTCTGTAGCATTTTCAACAGCCTTACCATCCAACTGTAGCTGACTAATCCCTTTATTCATCCTTCCGGATCCTGTCAATGCTTTGATCGTATTCCACGTTGCTTTAGGGTTGTTTCGATTTTCTTCGAATGCATTCTTGCAAAACTCACGCTTTGCTGAGCGCAAGGCAAAAACAGCCTTGTTTCTCGCCTCTCGATAATTTGCCCAGTCAGAACTATTGTCCGATTGCCTAGCCACCTTCAAAAAGTGATCACGAGAGTGCAATTTTTTAATAACCGCATTGTTCATCCAGGGGGGCTGAGTGGTGTGTTTGATTCTCTTTTCACGCCAAGGACAATGATTATCGAGGGCGGAATTAAACATCTTCTCCCAAGCATAAACAACAGCATCAATATCTTCGAACACAAACGCCGTCTCCCATGGGGTCTGCTCTAGTGTTCGCTTGAATTGATCCTCATTAAAAGATTTCATGTCACGGTACTTGATTCGAGAAGATTGTCTGTTTAGATTCCCGCGTGCATACTTGCGGACTACAAAGACTGGTAGATGATCTGCTAAGCCAATGTCTGCACTGGTGACCAAATTTATTCGCTGTGGTTGGTTACTGTACACATGATCAAGACAGGTTTTGCTTACGGGGCGGGTTATAAAATCGACCAACTGTTTAAAGTTCATACCACGCAACCCTTTGGCGAGTCTATGCTTATCATAACGTTTCTTACTTAGTCGATTCACAACCAAAATTACCATTTTCGTTTCGATTCGTATTCAAACCATTGGTGAAAAATTAGTGACGATAAAAACCCCAGCGAGCAGATGAGTACTGTTGCGTGCGACCGGTTGGTTATGATTCCGGCAATATAAAGTCTGGTTGAGTCTATTTGTGGCTTTATTAACAACAACAAATAAATCATTGCTAGCGTATTGTTCTCGCCACTCCAACATAAAATTCATATCTTCTCGCCACCGTGTAAAATCTCTGAGTATTCTTTGTAATATGACAAGATATTTACTAAGATAGGAAAAATGAAAGAGAATACTCTTATCCTAGGTGAAATTCAGATCTGACTTGTGTGTACAAGTACTTCCGATGGGGGGTATATCTCATGACAACACAAAGGTTCTACTGCAACAAAAATTTATCAAACAGGTAGGAAATTATAGTATTTTGGGATTAAAAATTTTTTTCGTTCAAACTCTATTTAAAGGGGAATGGGATCGGTTGGTAATATTCTCAGCTCCATCTCCAGCGTCCAAAGTGCAGCTGTTCCGTCTCTTCTTCCGATTTCCCCGTTCCTATGGCTGCTCTCCTCTTCGCACAAAACGAACGTAAAAGTGCAGCCGTTCGGTTTCTTCCTTCTCCATACACTTAGAATTCCTGAGTTTCGGCAAGCTCTACGCTTGTGTTTTACAAAGAGGAGAGCAGCCATTCAGACAGACGAAATAGAAGGAAAAAAAACGAACGGCTGCACTTTTAACGACGGAGAAAGAGTTCAGGATATTACGAACTGTTCCCACTCGCGTGTAAAAAGAGTTTAACAAGAAGATATATATGGAAAATAATTTTATTTTCGATCTGCTGACCAAAGAGAATCACTGATGGTGAGTAGCGCCGGCGAGACACATTAGAAACAGGAGTCATAAATATGAGTTATTGTCAGAAAATACAATAGTTTCCGGCCTGTTTGTTAACTAACTGTTGCAGAAGAATCTATTTTTTTTTTGTTTTTGTTTAGAGATACCTTTTCTATCCAGGAATAAAAAAAATAATTTTGCTATAAACTTTAAAAAGGTTCGATTCAGGGGGGTTTTCAGTTCCTTTTGTTACAAGCATCTGGAAAAAATGTAATTTCCAATAGAAATCAAGCCAAAAAGTGTGTAGAATTATTGCTTGTAGTTCCGATGCTAACACTGACATGGCGCTATGAGTAAACCACTTACCTGTCCTCGAGAGTGTTTTAATAACTGTAAATTGGCCAAAATTTTAACCATGAGCCGTAAAGGCCATTACACCTGCCATTGAAACTCTACTTGAAAAGCAACGGGTCGGCAGTAGTCAATTAGCTCCTATTGTAGAAACCTATTCTGCGTTTATATACTACCATACTGCTCATCGAAAAGAATCGCCGTAAAAGCAAAGATCGCAAGTAGTTTGGAAAAAAGGGTAAAAAAACTGGCGGGGTGTTCGCAAATTACCCCGAGGATAACCTCTCAGTGAATTTTGTGAAGAAGTTTGAGTTTCTGATCAATTGATCGGCAAAAATTCACCGATACCGATCGTTAATCCCGTGGTATTGACACAAGATCCTTTAAACTTCTGATCTTTGCTTCAGAACACTTAGCCATGACACTTTCTATTCCCCCGTTAATGAAAACGCAAGTTACATAAAAAGGCTGAGACGTTTTACAAGATGAGTTTATTTGGCCACGCATTTCAACCAACACCCTTGTTTCGATTGGAACGTGATCTGCACGTTAATGATGGTTTGTAATTGTTTCTAAGGTGACAAGAAGACGTAGACATGAAGTGTAATCAATCTCGTGCCTTCCTTTGTTCTCTTATGATACTTTTTGCTTTATATCTCCTGAAGTAAAAAAGACACCAAAAGAGGGAGAAAACGCAAAATTGCAGATAGCGAGGAAAATACCTTTGTAACCCCTATTTTTTCGGCTTTTTAAATGATCGGCAGGACACATTTCACAAACTGTGAAAATTTTGAGAGATTTCACCGAAGCAAATTATAGAAAATCAAAAGCAAGGCCAAATTATCACTAGCGGGCGCCTCTCTTCATGGAGCCTTAGCTAAATAACGAAAATCATCTTGGTAATATTTACTACTGCAAACGATAGTCCAAATCTTGCTCATCGCCTTTTGATGGCTTTAGTGACCATAAAAAGCCAAAACAAAAATTTTCTAGAAAAACAACGATGGCGCGCGCCCTTTAGAGCTTCCTTAATGAAGACTAGCTATCTCTCCTTGAGAAATGATGACGCCCCAGTCGGCTTTCAAAGAAATTTTTATTCAGGCAAGAAATTTGTTTAAAAAGCCTTACCACTCAGTAAAAAAAATACAGCTGTTAGGTTTTTTTTTAATAAACGGACACTTAATTTATTGTGACACGAAGGGTTCTATTTGGCACAATATTAGTTCCAACTCATTGCCTGCTCTAACTACACAAACACCTTGGATAAAATTACCGTGATATTTACATAACTTTTCAGCTGTTCTTATTTCGTTTTATTGCAAAAGGTTGAGCCCTACTCCTTTGAAACACTGTTTTTTTTTTCTGCGATAAAACTATTTGCCTCAACTGATTTAGTTTTAAGTTTACAACGATTGACATGTCGGCAGTGAACGAAAGCCTGAAAAATACGTCCGAATTCGCAAAACGTTTTCCTTCCAAATCAGAAGGCATCGCATTATGCAGCGTCTTCATGTTATCTTCGGTTCTAATCATTGCAGGAAGCTTGCTCGCTCTTGTTCTCTTTGCAGTTAACAAAACACTTCGTAGGAAAAGTTTATTCCTAGTTATGAACATGGCGTTTGCTGATTTGATGTTGGGAACTATCTCCGTACCCTTTTACATTTACTTTGTTGGAGATGCCTATCAGCTTTGGACAGCAAAATTCGGCTTTCATCTAGTGGTTTTCAGATGCATCGTTGCCACTTTTATGTTCGGCTCATATCTATCTGCAGCCTTCATATCCTGTGAGAGATTTTTTGCTGTATGTTGGCCGTTTCACCACCGATCACTGTCCACCAGAACATACAACATCACCATTTTCATACTTTGGATACTCGCTGTCTTTCTGCCTTCAATTTTAACTTTGTTAGGTGTCTTTAGTTCATTTAAATCTGCTTTGCATCTGGTTAATTTTGTGGTGAAAATTTTAAACTATTCCAACTCTTTTTTCAATCCAGTTGTGTATATATTTAGAATTCCTGAATTTAAGCAAACGTTTGTCGTGCACTAAGAAGGGAACCACTAAGACAGGACAAATCGAAAAAAGATACCGCACTACACTTAGAACGCCGGAGAAAGAGCTAAGAAAATATCGCACCGATCCCACCCGGCTGCAGGTAATGTTTGACCAAGAAGATATGGAGACTCAATTTTAATTAGTTGTGACAAGAGGACCATTTGGCTTT